AAACAGGTCTCCTTGCTTTCAGTTTTTTCCCTTAAAGTTCACACAGCAAACAGGTTGCTCTTTTTTACAAGGGGGATCGCATTTCTTCTGTGCTCCACATCTCCAAAGGTTTCCCATTTCACTTAACACATTGGTGTAGAGAGCCCTGTGACTCTTCCTGGCTGTTTCTCCTCCCTCATTCACAGGCTTCCTCATGCCTCATGCCTCATTCCTGCCTCAGGCCTTCGCTTTTGCTGTTTGCTCTTCCAGCAGATCTCTTCTCCCAGAGGTTACTGTGACCCTAGCTCACATCCTTCTGGCTTTGATCCAGATGCTTACTCCTCCTCTGGATCTCACCCTCTTGGGCCACTTGCTCCTCCCCTCTACAACATGTACCACTCTAGGTGCTGTGTGTTTACTCAAATGTGTGCTGTGGGTCCTCCAGCCACACTGTAAGCACCACCAGGTAGATGCCCTCTTGGTTGGGCTTGCTGTTCTCTTGCACTTGTGTCCAGAATACAGTAGGTGCTCAGTATACATCTGCAGGGTGAAAGAACAAACCTTTGTAAACCTGGATCTGGGTGTGTCTCTTCTGCACCTCCACCTTCAGCTCTGACATGCACATCTGTGCTGTTGCCTACCTCGTGAGCATCTCCTGGCGCTGCCTTCCTCCTCAGTCACAATGGGCCATGCATATTCCTCCTTCTTCCACACATGGTGACTCCATGCTCATGGGACATGGCTGCCCACCTTGCTCACTGCTGTCTGTTCTACCCTGGCCCATGCCTTGTATACAGTGGGTGCTTGCTGAGCACTCAGATGGGTGGAAGTCCTAATGCAAGCCCCACCTCCTCTTCAGAGCCTTTTTTGACTGTTCCAGTGCCACTGAACTTCTGTCCTTCTCAGAACAGTGTGGTTCTTATGAGTTCTACTTGCATAGGGCCTGGCATTTCCTATCTTTTTATGAAGATGCTATGTATCTCTGTAGTAAGGATGTCATCCTTGAGACAGGTCAATGCGATGCTATAGGCTCACCCTCTTTATATTGGCGGGTCTGGATTCCTTGTATATGGTGAACACTCAATTTTGATAACATGTAAAAAGTAAAGGAATATTTCCAGTTGCCTTCTACAAATTTGTTAACAGCAAACAGCATATGCTTCAGACACCAGCCAATAACTTTATTCAATGAAGCTTCCAAAACCCAGGCAGAGCAATGGATGTCCTGGATTGTGTACAACAAGCAAAGAACAAGCAAGAAATCAGGAGATTAGGGTAACACACATGGCAGTCATTTCGTCATTGATGATTTGGAAGTATTTCTTTTCCCTTTTTTTGGTGAGAAGGAAAGAGTTTATTAAGAAGAAAGAAATCGTGACCCGCCTGGGCAGTGAGACCTCAGCTTTACAATAAATCAAAAAATCAGCCGGGCGTGGTAGCGCATGCCTGTAATTCCGGCTATTCAGAAGACTGAGGTGGAAGGATCGCTGGAGCCCAGCAGGCGAGGCTGCGGTGGCCGGGAGCGGCCACTGCACTCCAGTCTGGGCGACCAAGTGAGACTCCAACTCAAAAAAAAAAAAAAAGAAGACAGAAAAGCAGCCGGGCACAGTGGCTTATGCCTGTAATCCCAGCACTTTGGGAGGCCGAGGCAAGAGAATTGCCTGAGCTCATGGGTTCGAGACTAGCCTGGGCAACATGGTGAGGCCTCATCTCTACAACAAATAAAAAATTAGCTGGGTGTGGTGGCACATGCCTGTAGTTCTAGTGACTTGGAAAGCTGAGGTGAGGCCCAGCAGGTGAAGGCTGTGGTGGCTGGGAGCAGCATGCCACTGCACCCCAGCCTGGGTGACAGAGTAAGACCAACTCAAAAAACAAAACAAAACAAAACAGAAAAACTCCAACAGTGGGGGGGGGACCTGAAATAGGGCTGTCCAGGAATATATTTTTTAAATTTTTTAATTTTTTTAGAAAGCAGGATTTATTGAGAGGACAGAGAGGCTCCCAGATGGGAGGGT